CCCAGCACTGACATGCAGCCTTGTAGCATCTGTGAGTCACACATGGCTGCACCGAGCTTTGGCTAGGGTAGAAGCAAAGCACTTGGGAGAAGGATGCTGGTAGCAATGTCTTCTTCTCTACCCTTGTAACCTATACATCCTAACTCCCTGGGTACATCCCATTACTCCATGGGTACATCCACATCTTTAGCCCATGGAACATGGCTGCTATGCACCCACCTGCTCTCCTCGCCCTCCAAAAGCTCGCGGTAGGTGGCGATCTCTATGTCCAAGGACAGCTTGACACTCAGCATTGCCTGGTAATCTCTCAGCAGCTTGGCTAGGTCCTCCTTAGCCTGCTGTAGGGCCTCATCCAGCTCTTTCAGCTTCTGGCTGGCATCCTGGAGAGCCCTCTCTCCTCTCTCCTCTGCATCGGAAATGGACCCATGCATCTGTTCCATCTAAATCAGAGACAGGTCGGGGAGCAGAGAGGTGTTGAGCTCCTGGAATCTGATCTGGGCCTTATGGGAGGTGGCATGTCTGGTGAGCCCACCCTGAGTCCTGTCCTACCTGCTTCTTAACGTTGCTGATCTCTGCCTGCAGTCTCTGAATGTTGCGGTTGAGCTCTGAGATCTCCATCTTGCTATTCTTCAGGTCATCTCCGTGTTTCCCAGCTGTGATCTGCAGCTCCTGGTACTGTGAGCCAGAGGCACCACCATGGTCAGTATCTGCAGTTCACTAGACTCTCCCAGAAAAAGATCTGGGCTGCTCTGTCTTGGAGTAAGCCCACCTGGAGTTGTGATCACACATACTCACGCTAACCCCAAACCTCCCTCAGCTGAGCAGCAAAAAGAGACAGACAGAAACACACACACACATACAAACACACACATACACACACACACATACATACCTCCCTCAGCTAAGCAGCAAAAAGAGACAGTACACACACACACACACACACATACACAAGATGTACACATGCACATATACACAGTACATACACACATTCATGCACATACATGAATATACAGTACATACATATACACACACACACACACACACACACACACCACGGTAGCAGGTCTCCCTCCTCTCTCATTCCCACTGGTCTATGGCCAGGCTCATATCCCACCAAGACAAACCTGTTTCTTTATGCTCTTCACTGTTTTCAAGTGCCTAAGTCTTCACACAGCCTATACCCACACAGGACTCCCTCCTGCTTTCCTGACCACCATATTCTTTGTCTCTTTTCCAGAATGATTCTCCTAGCAGAATCTGCTGGTCTCAGAAGCCCTCAGAGCACCTATGTTCATTGCTTTCTTTCCTGTGCCAGTATTGCTTTATCAACCAGGCTATACCCAGGGCATCCTCAGGAAGAGCCGACCAAAAAAAAAAAAAAAAAAAATGTGCATTTTGACAAGGCTCTCCTTCCCCAGTCTCCTAACAAAATCCACTGCAGCCCAGAGTTTGTTTTCAGACTGTGGGACAGAGGTCAGTGATACTGGAATTGGCTTTAAAATCCACAAAGCAGGTCACGACATTCTAGTTACTCAGAACTCAATGACTGGGGGCTTCATCCTTTGTTCCTTCGACTAGAGTCTTAACCACTCAACATGAATTCATACCCAAGAGGTTGTCAATCCTATGCCCAGCGGCACAGTGACGAGCGAGTGTATTCACCCAGTTAAGTTCTCATACTGCTAGGAATGTTGTAAAATATTTGGAGTCACAGAAAGTGACTCTAAGATTTCCAAGCGATACATTTAAAAAGTAGAAAACTAAAAAAATGTGCTCTAATAAGGAAACTAAAAATAACAAACGTCGTTGTAGGTGTTAAGAACCTGTTTGTAAATCCCACACCTGGGTTTAGTGAGTGTTTTCAGGAGAGTTGCTTGTTAACAGGGCTTAGGAAAATTAGATACAGCCTAACACCTATGAGTTCTCCAGAAGGATTAACTAAAAAATGAGCCAACAAACAAAACAGGCAGGAACTATCCTATCATATTTAATGTCGAGGCGAGAAAGACAATTTCTGAAGTCTTTATCACAGACATGTTAGACTTTGAAGTCAGGAGGCAGTAGCAGTTTGAGGGCTGTTTGTTTATTTTGGGGTGCAAACTCGAAACCCAAGCTCACCTTGGTCTGGTACAAGGCCTCAGCTTCGTCCTTGCTCTTCTGTGCAATTAATTCGTATTGGGCGCGCACAGCATCAATGATGCTGTCCAGGTCCAAGGAGCGGTTGTTGTCCATTGACAAGATGACATTGGTGTCACTGACCTCGGTTTGTATCTGAGACAGCTCCTGTGTGACACGGAACACAGTTCACTCCTTCCACCCTTCTCCCTCAAGGACGTCTAGGGAAGCCAGAAACCTGGACTAGAAAGGCCTCTTGAAAGAACATTCTCTTAATTGTCCTGTGCTATGAGACATAAAGGGAAGGTCTTAAGTGTTTTGACTAAAGGCATCTGGGCAGGAGGAAGGAGACTGTGACCCCAGCAAGCATCTCTTGTACAAACTGCCCATCCTTGCAGTGGCTTCACTACCTTTTTGATACAGGCCCTTGACAGACACAGTTGTCCCTTGTTGTCATAAGAGTTCTCATTGTTAGGAATCTGGTTTGGAGCCACTTGACTACCAAGTTAGGTCACACATTCTTCTGTTGAATGGGCATCTCCATAAGGTAAGCAGAGCTTCTGACACAACACTCAGGTCAGAGCATGAACCCCCCCCAATGTTAGACACAGGTGACAGGTGGGGAACTCACTCTCTTGCTCTCCTTCAGTTGTCCTTACCACAAAATCCCTTCTATTGCCTTCTATGGGGTTCTCCCAAAGTCCTGTGGACTTCCCACAGTGAGTGAAGACCTGGTTGTTACCCTCATGTCCCAGGTAACCTGAGAGCATGAAGCAGGGAACTACCTTACCCTCACCGATCTCAAGATTCTCACTGTCCCACCGGCTCCACCAGAACCGGGAATGACCCAGTTGAGGGAGGAGGCTAGTGGAGATGAGCCTTCTCCAGTTCACACCCTTATGGGATATGGGAAAAGAAAAGGGGCTTCTCAGGACTGCACTCACCGTATCAAATAGATATTTCAGGAAGTTGATCTCCCCATACAGCGTGTCCACTTTGGACTGCAAGTCTGATTTGCCCATGAAAGCAGCATCCACATCCTGTGTAGCAAAGGTGTTCGATTTCATCACCCAGGCATTGTCAGCCACCAGCTTCCTGGCTACCCCCAGGATAGTGGCAAAAGCTCTCTGGTTTACTTCCTGGCTAAAAATGTCGTTACTTAAGTCAGATCTGGAAACTGACTTTGCTAGCCAGAAAGGGACACAACACCACCTCCACACCTTGGTCAGCGACATCAACTCCTCCCTAGGTCCTTCCCCAGTCCCAAGGCTATACATAACTGACATTTGAAAGCTGCCCATTAACTTAATTTCCACTTCCAAAGCCTAGAGGACACCTAGAGCCACCGTAGTATGGACCTGACTTTCTTGTGTGTCAGGGCCCTGCAACCGGACAGAGCACACTCCATATTAGACCAAGGGAAACCTCTTCTCCTACCCAATCCTGAGCTCCCAGAGGACCCCTCTTCTCTTTTACCTTCTTCAAAACAACAAAGTCATTCTCCGCATTGGTCCGCTTGTTGATTTCATCCTCATACCTGTGATGGAGGCAAGAAGCAGGCTGTAAGGGCTGACCTCAGCTCCTTGAGATTCAACCTCCCAGCAGAAAGCCCAGACTCACTCAAGCCTCCGCTGTCCTGAACCCAGACCCCGCCCCCTGCTCACAGCAGTGCTGTTCCCTGTCAGGGCCTGGTACTCTGACAAATGAATGGCTAGAGATAGGTCCCAAAACTCCTAACCAACAGGATGAGGACCCAACAGGAAACCTCAGAGGCATGCGTGCAGAATGTCCCCCAAATGTTTACATTGATTCTGATGTTACGACTTCATAAATGTTTCCCTCAAGATTTTTCCATTAAGACCGTAAGGTAACAACCACCTTAACTAAATCTTTTAAGAGAAAAATATTTCATCTACAGTTTTGTCTCCAACTCCAGTGTTTTATTTTTCCCTGTAGACTCACACACAAACGATCTTCCAGTGGCCTAACACAGTAACCACATCAAGGTGATGTCAAAAGAAGCACCCTTGGGGTAGGAGACTATGGAAGAGGCCACCTGGGAACTTACAGTCACTTACAGACAGCTGGCCTGAAACTCAATTGTCATCCCTGCCATGACTGCCTATAATAGGTCGTGCTTAGTAAGCATCAATACAAAGAATTATTAAGTATTGTTTCTTCTCAACCGGCGTTTCTCAGAGTGTGGTCCCCAGTACATTGATATCAGTGTCACACGTTCAAGATACATATGTACTGGCTGCATCCCAGACCCGCTGGATCTGGCATGGGGTGCAGAGTCTGATGCAACAGGATGCATCTAAAATTTAGGAACCACAGCAAGGAGGGAACACTCCAGGCAGAGAGGTGAACTTGTAGTAGGGTTCACTAATCTCCTGCCCTTCCCTGCTCCATATAACTGATAACCTGGCTGTCACTGCTATCCTACACAGGACAGCCATATGTAAAACAGTGCCCCCTGTGGCTACACAATGCAGAGCCCACCTGCTGCCAGTCCCACACTCAGCAGAAGGACCCCAACAGTCTTCTCCTTGAGCCCTTTGCCCCACCCTGGCTCCTTACTTGTTCTTGTAGTCCTCCACGACATCTTGCATGCTCCTGATCTCGGAGTTCTGGCGCAACTGCTCGGTGGTCAGAACGTCCACCTGCCTTTGCAGCTGATTGATGAAAGTCTCAAAAATCGACTCCAGGTTGCTGGTTCGAGTGGTGGTGTTCACCTGCTGCAGCAGTTCCCATTTTGTAAGTAGCACCTGGTTCTGCTGCTCCAGGAAACGTACCTAAAGAACACCCCAAGCTCAGAACAGCTTTCTCCATGGGAAGAGAGATCAGTGGTTTTACAGCATACTCAAACCTCAGAAACTCAAGATGGGCCTTCTGACCATCAAGGGAGGCAATGTGGTTCCTTAGGTCACCTCCAGCCAGTCTCATCCAGCTATACCCCTTTATCTAATAGACTTCTCACCCCACACTTAATTTATCCATGCCAACATGAGCAAACGCCACTTCCTTTGTCTTTGTTATTGGAACACAGAACATGATTGAGGACAAGACACAGAAGGAATAACAGGTCTTGGAATATTCTTAGGTGGGTGCCCCCAGCATCCACTACCATGTTCGCTGCCTGCCACTGTGGTTTTTGAGAAAGCAAGAACATTTAAACGCTATCATAACCCAGCCAGAAACTTTTTAATGCATACTTTAGCTTTTTAAAATCTTGCAATGCATTTGGATACCCCAAGTAAGACATATATTTGAAAAATGCCCACATTTTTGCATTTTTCCTTTTGCAAAGGAAGTACTTTGCTCACCTAGGAAAGAGAGCACAGAAATGGCTCTTTGTTTTCACCACTTCTTCCTCTCTAGCTGTGGGAACAAAGACTGGACACAAAGAGGAGTCTGGCTGCAAACAGCAAGTGCATGCTTGGCGAGTGCCACCAAACCCAGCTTTCACTTTTCCTCGACCCGTTGCCCACGATGGACCTTCCTCTCCCATGCAGTGATAGAGGTGGGTGGGCTGTAGTGTGCTTCCCTCAGGTACATGCAGTTGTGTGCACACAGACATTCACAGGTGTATGCACACATACACAGTCTCACTTACACATATATGTCATATACATATACATGTACTACATATACATATCACATATACCTCCATAGACATATCTACATGCACAAATATTCACATCCACAGAGGCATCCATAGTCACACACTCACTTGTACACAAGTGCATGTGTGTGCACTCATCCCTACATAAATACATTTATATGCGTTCATTTGTATGTGCACATCAACAGAGAGAGAGAGAGAGAGATCTCCAAAGTCCAGCACCCTTCTCCAGGAGCTATGAAAGGGATGGAGAACCTCTGCTTTGTGGGGTTAGAGCAGCACCATTGCATGCACTCCTATGATGAAGCACTCACTGTACCCGGAATTCCCAAACCCCTGAGACTTCGCCTGTCTTGGGAGCCAGCCCTGCCAAGTCCCTTTGGATTCTGACTCTAATGAGAAGAATGTGATAAGGGAACATTGTTCTCAGGCCTGTCCTGGCTGCCTTTATCACAGCAAGGGGTTGGGCAACCAGCCCTCACAGTAGACTTATCAGCACAGCTGTAACACACCCACGAAAAATTCCTGCCAGTATCTCTCTTCTTTCTGTAGTGTCACTCCCAGGGAGTGGAAAAATCAGTTCTGCACTCCATGACAGCAGTATGTTTGGTGACAGTGGCTTTGATGCCTTCTCAGATTGTGGCTTTTACTCCAAACAAGGCAAGACTCCAGGGAGGGTTTATAAAGGAGAGGGTGCTGACCTTTGAAAGGATGGCTCTGCAGCTCTATTAACAATAGCCCAGGCTGTACCAAAGGGAAAGCAGAAACCAGGGTGAGAAATTACAGTAACAAAAGTTTGCTTTCTTCCAGACTGGAGGCCCGAAGGTTGGTTGTCATCACAGGGCCTGCTCCAAAGGGAGAATATGAAGCCACTAATTCCTGTACCCTCCTGGAAAATGTAATAGGCCTGTGTCCTCATCAGGAGTCTTGATCAAGTGAAAATCCCAGATTAATTTCCAGTGTGGGACCTTGCCATTTTTCCCTGCTCCTCCCTTGCCCAACCTTGGCCTCCTGGTAGCAGCATCTCCCTCACTGATAAGTCCTTGCTCCAGGCAAACCTTCCGGCCCCCGCCCATACTCAGGCACCATAGTGACCAAACATGTTTCTCATCCCGAGTGATCAGACGTAGACACAAGCACATGGTTCTGTTGAACTCCCTTAGAGCTATCCATAACCCTCCCTCTGTGTCCTTCTCCTCCTGCACACACACCGCTCCATCTCCAACACTTGCCCTGATAACAGGCAGTGGCCATGTGCCTTCCTCGGCAAGTAACGAAGGGAAGGCCTTTACCATAGCTGTCTGTTGAACTCTTCATAGAGACCTGAACATGAGGAAAACCTCATGTGACTTAGGGTAAAGGGGTTCAAGGTGGACCTTTGTTGTCCCTGGGAGAAGGGGGCAAAAAGGCCAACTCAGACAGAAAGCCTCATTATGTTACTGACCTTAGGTTCCCAGAGAGACCTGCCTTCAAAACACTCACCTGACACCCACCAACAGCTTCCTAGTTGCTGTCCACCACATCGCCTCCTTCTGTCATTTTCCCAGAAATGTTGACATTTTAAATTCCCTGAAGGAGTCACACTTTTCATGCCTCCTCAATGCATGGACATTCTGTGTCTGACAGCTGCTTGGCTCTTCTTCTATCTTCAAGAACCAAGTAAGACCTGGGGTCTCCCAGCAAAGCACTCCTAGTATCCAGCAGGCACAGCTCAGGCACCTTTGGGCAACCAATGACCCAAAGAGTACCACATACTAACGCATCTCCTGTAAACCGTCATCGTTCTCTGCCATTCCGTTTTGTAGCTCCCTGAGAGCATAACTTGTGACCCAGCAGCCCTTGTAGCTTTTATGTAGAGTGGCATACAGGAGGCCTGATGAAATATTTGTGGATTGAATGGGAGTGGGTCAGTTGGGCAGGTAGGTTGATAGGCAAATGCATGGGTTAATACACAAATGAGTGTGTAGCAGGGAATGGGTGTAGGCATTTATGTTGGTTATGTATATGAGTGTGGGCAGAAGGAGGGGTAGATGGTGGTTATGTGGATGATAGATGAGTGGGAGGGTAGATATATAGATGGATGGGTACAGATAGTGGCTGGGAGGATGATGGATGAGTGGGTGGGGTAGTGGGTAGGTGGATGGACTGCATGAATGAATCGAGATAGATGGATGGATGTGAATAGTGAATGGATGTGTGCACCTGAGAAGATAAGTGGACGGCTGGATGTGTGCGGATGAGTAGGTAAAGGAATAATGTGTGTGTGTGAGTGGATGGATGATGGATGGTGAATGGATG